ATGGTAACTGTACTTTGTATCAAGCCATGCTAGCAGCGGGGCTATAGGGATGACAATGCTGGTCAGTCACTTGGTCAATCCACATCTTTAGTTTAGAGTGAAATATTTTGGCAACTATTGGATGGATCATGGTTCCCAGTGGCTGAATCATAAGGACTTAATGACTCTTGAAATGACTCTTGATTTAGTAATATCAGCAGATTGGGTCAATTAAAATGTCATATCTTTCATCCCATCACATCTCCTTCTCATCTGGCTTCCTTCACATCTCTGTTAAGAGTTTCACATGCGCAGTACTGATCAGGCGCCCCGCAACAAAATGGCGATGGGCAAAGATAAAATTTAGGAGCTGTAAGCACAAGCAAGCATTTTACGTAACCTGGAAACAGGTGTTTAGTTGGGTGATGTTAGAGGATGTGGGTGAAACTCCAACTATGTATTGTTACAAGTTTGAGTAAAACAGGGTTGTTTTTCAAAGGTATGTCAAGTTTCCGAAAATGTTTGCCAGAGTGTACAGTATCTTGGATGGCAGTTAAGAGGGTCTTTGTTGTACCGCTAATAAATAAGTTTGTATCGGAGCAAGTTAAAATTGACTTTGGACATGTAGATTTCAGACGCACTTGCCCTAACGGGGCGCTGAACCCTGAATATGCTTTTTGCACTGAAACCAACAATGTGTTTGTCGGTCTCCAATACTTTCTGACTTCTGTGGCACTCTGTGACTCAGTCTAGTTTTTAGATAACAATGGAGCGCGGTTGCACTGAGGAATTAGATATATTAGGCTCTGGTACACAGACAATAATTGTTAGGCGGATCAGTTCATTGTTTATGGTCTTCTAATGGGATTGTTGACAGTAAGAAAAACCATGTCCTTTAAAACTCAACTATTATGGCAGACAGACTCTGATTTCATGTGTTCATCAGAGCTCTCCTCGGTACACGTGTTAAATTTACCAGCCACAACTCATAATTTAATTGTGGTGAAGTGCAATAAATGGAAATTAAATTAGACTTTGCTTACCCCCTGTCGTCTATACAGGATTGTTTACTTTGCAGCTGAGATGTGTATGCGAACTCAGAGGGAAGACAGAATAACCACCCTTATTGCAGCAAATTAGAGGAACATTAACATTTAAGCAATTTTAAGTGCATCAATCAGTGTTCCTGTTTTATCTCCAATCACTAATTCACATATGAAAAAATAGCCAATAATCAGCAGTCTGTCAACAGTTTCATCTTTGGGCCATGATTAGATCACATGTTCGGATTGTAATCATGAAATATGTTTTCTACTCTCATGGGAAATACAGGCACCATCCAAAAGGACATTGACTCTAGAAATAGCCTGGAGCTAATGTCATGTAATAGCACAAGGTACAGCTAATTCTTTGGTGCTGTTAACTAAAAGTAAAGCCGTGTAAACCCTGCAGGCACACACGCGAATTTAACACTTTTTTCCCCTCATCCTCATCTACCCCAGTCCACAATGCTACATGAGGCAATAACCTCCCTTAATTCTTCTCATGTGGAACACAGATGAAGCCAGATAGTTAGAGATGCTATTAAAAATAGAAATGGCTCATGCATAGAGAACATAGCAGGTAAATTACATTATCTACACAAACCGCAGTTATGTAAGTGAACATCTAAGGACTGGATATTTTCTATGCAGGAATTTGTTTTTGCCCACAGTCGTTCACCTCAGTTTGAGCTGCTTTTATTTGTGTCGTTTAGTGTCCTCAGGGCCCATTTCATCATATTTGTGGCATGCAAGCCTGAAATGTCATCCATTTGCTGTCACGGATTTTGACATGTTTCACAAATGAATTGCAGTCAAGAGCTGCAAATGCGCCTTCAAATGTGTGTTTAGGGAGGCAGTCTGTATGTAGAGATTATTTCTAAATCACGTGAGGAATCATGTAGTATCTCCTTCTCGCCTGAGTGTTTTATTTTCTTTACAATCATTCCCATATTGCTGCTAAGATGGCAATGAGGTGTTCATTATTAATTTGCCAGGGGAAAAACTTTTGTAAAATTCTCTGAGCGCTTTGCATGGTTTTTGTATAAAAATAAATCAATGGCCTCCGGTTGATTATGAAGTAATTGCTTTGCAAAGCCAGACCAAATTTCTAGAGCTCAGGGTTTTACGAGTTTACTGATTGAGCCCATCTTTCAATATGACATTATGCCCAAATAGATTGTTAAAGATAGAAAACTAAAGACATTGTTGTTGTGCTTGCTACATGAAGTAGCTTTGCTAGTTTCCTGGCTAATGTCCCCAGCAATTAGGGAAGAATTGGAGGGAATGTTTAGAAGAGGTAAATAAAAAAAAAATTGGCCAAAATTTAAAAATAGCAGTGAAGATAGCTGGGCAGAAGTAGGCTTAACTAATAGTGATAGATCCGTCCCCATCCAATACATCTAAGTGAAAAACAATGAAGTTAAAGGTATAGTGAAACATTTAAAGTGAGGTGAGATTATTTTCTAGTTTATAACAAAGTTATAACACATTAATCTCCCTCACATGCATATTTTGATGCATTGTATGGAACCCAATGTGTCAATCACAATGCCTTTCACCTCAAGTGTACAGCAAAACTGATGTTGATAAAACATTTGTGAGGAATGTGACTAAGACCGCTGACAGACCAGTACACAGTGTAGTGTCCAATCAGGGGTAGAAAGGGTTCATGTTGGGTTACGTAAAGGATTGCTCAATCATTATGAATAAAGCAAACATTGGGTTGGCACTGCGAGCCTAATAGCCTGACCTGGTGTGACACAAAATGGCTGACAATTGGATCTATTAAATCAAAAAGAAGGAAAGAATTTCTTTATATTATAAAGTTAAGGTTTGGAGCGTGAAAAGTGTGGTTTACAAACAGCGGCTACCAATTTCCTGCAATTTGAATCATATTTCTAAATGATAAACAGGGCTGGTATATTTATTGGATATTAAAGTCTGCTCTTGGCTATGTAAATATGTGCTTTTCTAGCAGAGGAAACCCTACTGTGAGGTGGATAAGGGATATTCTGTTGAACTGCCTCTCTTTGAACTATTGACTATAGTGTGGATCCAGTGAGTTGTTAGAGGAGAAGTAAAATGAGAGAGGAAATAAGGGGAGGTGAAAGTAAAAACTGGAGGGAAGAACACAGTAGGGATGAGATGAAAAGAGAAGATGAAAAAGAGTAGAAGAGTTCCACCCTTTGTGATTCCATTTGTGCCCAGAGTGTTTTAAAGTAATCCATAAAAAAATCAAATTAAATCAAAATGACAGGAAATTAGGGAGATGGGGGTATAGTGGCGAAGAAAGCAGCGCTGAATGAGCGCAAGAGGGGAAGGTGGCTTAGTGAATAGAAATAGAATGAAAAAGATGCAAAAGAGAAGGATAAAATGTGGCAGAGAGGAGATAAAGAGTGAATCTGAGAAAGGGAGAGAAGAAGTTTGTAATTATGAAGAGGGAGAGAGAACAAATGAATCAGCATTGCTACAGTTGAATAATGCAACAGGGGAGCTTGCAAACACACATACAGAGGACAAGAGGGGTATTTCAAGCAGAGCTAGCTAGCAGGGACACAGAGAAAGAGATACAGGTTCAGCTAGAACATCTGCGGCTTATGGAAATGGCTCATGTTCAAAAGAGAAACAACTTCTGGTGAAAATGCTAATTTTACTTGACGCTGCATTTGAATCATCTCGCTGGGCTATAAGAAACAACACCTCGGATAACTTCTCTCCACCTTTCGGTTTCTTGTGTACACGCCAAGATACCCACAGTGTCTTACCTCCCTCTCTTTCTCTGAGTGTATTCCCACCTTTGCTTTGTAGACTAAAATTTATTATGACAGGAAGACGAGTTGACGTTGAGAACGAGAGCAAAACAAGACTGAAAGGTTCAAAACAAGCTATAAAGTTAACTTTGGAAGGCCAGGAAAAAACACTTGATTTCTTATTCTTGACACCTATTGCCTATTCTCTGCTACATTCAGTGAACAAAAAGGGCTTCAGTATGGAGATTTTTGTTTTCTTTTACAAGAATTGAATGCCATACCATAAAAAAATGTGTCATTTTTAATTTGCACCAGTAAAGTGTTTTTGAATGTCACATCCATTTTATGAATACAAATGCATTTCTCAACATGTGGAATGGTATGGGAAGCAAAAAGTCAATTTCATTATAAATGTTCAGGGTCAAAGGAAAGGTGAAAACTAAAGACGCAAAGTGTATTAGAGGAGGTACATTATATCACTACAGGCGTTTATTGTGTTTATGCTTTGTTTGAAGCTGTTTGGACTAGCTATGCCACAGTGTGAGGGACAGAACATGGTCAAAATTGGCCTCAAAGAAATAAATGTTAAAAAAAAAGTGTGTTTAGGACATCTTCCAAAAGGCAGACATGGCTACAGTTTAAATGAATGTGCATAGATGCACAAATAATGTGTAACTCAATTCAATAGCTGATTTTAAACATCTAAATCTTTGATCTTGGTCGGTGAAGTTTGAAAAATTCAAGTCTAAATTAAATGAAAATAGGGACCTTGTCCTTAATTAGTGCAAACCTAAAATCTTATCAAATAAGCATCACAAATATCCCACCTATCAAATCCAACATCTTTCCAGTCCTTAAAGGACCAGTGGGAAGGGTTTAGTGGCATCTAGCTGCTCTGCTGCTCACCTCACCCTCTTGTTCCAAGCAAAACTCATGAGAGTTTGTGTTCTGGGCTTCTGTAGAAACATGCTGCTTCAATATGGCGGACTCTGTGGAAGAAATCAGAAGCAGCTTGTGAATTTTTTGGGTCATTTGTAAACATTTTTTGGAACGTGCAAACAGTTTTTGCTCTGCTAATGACCGGGAAGTAAACAGCCCATTTCATTATGAAAGACTGAAAAAAATCTTACAACCAATTTCATACTAGTATAATACAAGTTTGTATTTCCAGTTATGAATGAAACCTGAACCCTAACGTTTCCTCACTTGTCTCTAATCCCTTCTACAGCCCAGAACTGTTCAGGTCTGAGGACATGTGCAGAGTGTTTGGAGAGGGCGGAGTGCGGTTGGTGTGGTGATCCCAGTAACACCGGCAGGGGGGTTTGCATGGAGGGCTCCTACCGAGGCCCCCTGAAGCCCGCCACTGCCAGGACTGGGCCCCGGGACCGAGACAGACTTCGTGACAGGGACATGGTGCTGGATCAGAGTCTCTGTTCATCTGATAGAGGCTACAACTGGGCCTTCATCCAGTGTCCCGGTGAGTGAACCACTGGAACAGATCACATACTGATTGGCCACATTCAAGCAAATGTTTCTTCTGTTTAAAACTACAGCCTACTAAACTGTCCATGAAGTTAAAAACACCTCATTCAACAAAACACTGATTATAGTCTTCATGAAGGTAGAATTTATTGCAGTAGTTTTAGGTAGGTGCACCTACAGCTGACTTTGACTGTCTGTCTGTGTTTGTGTTTGTATAATTTCCTCCCAGCGTGTCAGTGTAATGGCCACAGCAGGTGTGTGAACGGCAGTGTGTGCGAGCACTGTGGGAACCTGACAGCAGGGACGCACTGCCAGAGCTGCATGCCCGGTTACTATGGCGACTCCATCAACGGAGGGAAGTGCAATGGTGAGTGCAAAGGCCAAAGGTGTTTACCCTGTGCTTATATCAGGTTGGAGCATCAGCAAAAGAACGTCCACACGGCAGAATTCTCTTTCTTATATTCGTCTTTTAAGTTTTACTTTTAAAACAAGGGAAAGAGTCCGTCAGTCTGTGTGAATATTTGAATCTCTTTCAAATCAATTCACCAGGTTCTCTTCCAGTGCAACAACCCGCCTTGTTTCAAGATAATAATTTGCCAAAAATAAATTCTTGATACACTCCAGATATCTCTGAGACACAAGTCTGTTCAAAGAAAATAAAGTTTTGAGCTCAGCTGTAGACAAAAATAAGTAAAGGTTGAGATTTTTCCAGTGTGTATTGGACGAATCCCCCCCTTTAGATATATGCTGCCTTCAATTGCTCTGAATTGCTTTTATAGAAATCATGAGCCATTCATTAAAAACATGACAAGTAGAGACTGCTGCCAACAGTCTACCACACTGTAATAGACACAAACAACCTGATGGGGGCAGTGTTTAAAAGCTGTGAGTGTGCGCTCTGGTTTGTGTGCTTGTGGTGACCAGCAGAGCACTGGAGCAGTAAAAGGGAAACTACACGTGTAGTTTGGACAGGATTGTGGTCTGCAGAAATTGAGGGAACAGCTCGTCATTTCTAGTGAACAGCAGAGAGGTTTGACTCAGGGAACATGGTCCTGGTGTTGGCAAACGCTCACAGAGATGCACACATGCTTTATGTGCATCCATATTTTTCAGCTTGGAATCCGACTGTCAGCAGTTTCTCCATGCTTTGCTTCATATGGAAATCATCACTGCAAATCCCATCGTTGAAATTGTTAAGAACAGTGTATGTGAGAGATAGATGATAGCAAGAGAAGCCACGAGGAAGGGGGGGGGGGTCTGGGAAGGTATGTGGTATGGGCCTGGATGGGAGAAAACATCAGAGATGGGAGAGTGTAATGAATGAATGAGTGACTGCTGGAGTGTGAGTGAGTGCTGGAGAGAGAAGTGAGAGGGAGGTGCGGTAACATCAGTCTCACTGTGACAGATGTGCGTTTTGGCTTGGCGGCGGCGTGACATTAAATCGCTCTTAATCATTTTCTTATTTCCTGAGTTGACTGGTGTCTCCGTCCCTGGCGGCTTTCCGCAGCGAGCGCGGTGCTGATAGATGCACGCCTCTGGTCGCCTCCGTACAGGACAGCCTCTGATGCACTTTCTCTTCTCCTTTGGCTTTCCTTGCAGTATTTTTGTTCACTCCATCCTCTGTCTCTGTGCTGTTTTGGCTTTTTCCTTATGCTCTCTTCAACAACCCCGGTCACATTTTCCCTGCTGTTTCTCTCCTCACATGTTCATCTGTGACACCTCCTTTATGCCTCTTTTTATGGTTCATACCAATTCTGTTCAATTTATCTTTGCCTTTTTTCATCCATCCCACTCTTTTTTCCTTCCCTTCACTCTCTTCTCATTGCCTCTCGTATCCTTGCTTTTTCGTTACTTTCCTTACTTCTCATAATCTTTGTTCCTCCTTTTCTTGTTTCTTTTTTTTGCTTTCCTCTGCCTCACCACCTCTTCATTCCCTTCCTTTTCTTTCTTTTTATTACCTTTCCTCTTGTCTGTAATCTCTCTGCATCTGATGTCTCCCCTTCTCGTTTCCTTTTCTCCCGTTAATTTCTTCTCCTTTCTATCCTTTTTTACCTTTTCTTTTTTTACTCTATGCCTGTGTCACTCCCTCTTACAGTTGACAATAACTCTGTCTTAAATTTCCCCCACTTTTCATCCATCCATCAATCCATTCATCCTTTCTCCCTCCATCTCTCTTTATAAAAAAAAGGCCACTAGATTTACCTTGGGCTAAACTGCTGGGATGCAATGATGTGTGGCCGATTAGGGGACTGAATGATAGAGAGACAGGAAGGGGAAAAGGCCACGGCTCATAGGGTTATAAAGAGGATGGAAGTGTGAGAAAGGCAGTGGGAGAGGAAAAGGGGGGAGATGAGTGAGACAGGAGGAAAGAGAGACAAAGACAAGCAGGCCGAAAGAAAAAGGGATAAAAAGCATGTGGTGAGATATACAAGGTTAATATCGGTGGAAAGGGACAGTCGCCCTTGGAAAGAGAGAGATGATGAAGGAATAGAGGAGGAGATGGAGGGATAAATAGAGGAAGAGATGTAGGACAGACAGAGGAGAGGAGAGGGTAGTCTGTCCGTTCCCTGTCCCTGTGACAGATGATTAACTAACCTTGTCAAATCTGGATGAAGTGTGTGTGTGCGTGTGTGTTTGTGCGCGTGTGCAGGACATTAGTCCCTTTTCTTTGACTGTATCGTTCACCTTGTCCTGTGCACATATGAAGTCAAAGTCACTCATACCAACCTTCAGAGCTGCAGCTGACAATATGTTAGATGTCTGTTTAGACTGTTAGTCCCTCAGAGGAGAACACGCGTTTTAGAGGCTGACAGGAAACCTGCCTGTTTTTATGAACATCCTGGGAGTCTTTGTTCTGCTGATTTCTTGTCTCGTTTTTATTACAGCGGAGAGACAGACTGATGTTTTCTAAACATTTTTTTAAATCATATTTATGACAGGAAGGGTTGTTCCAGAGTGTACATGCTTGCGTTACAGATAGAAACATCCACATCTAAAAGTAGTACTACAGTGTGTGTGGTTTACTTAATGGCACGTTAACACTAGTGCTTGAGGATAAGGAGAGAGTTAAGGTGGATTTATGCATCTTTGTCAGGACGTTATAAAGGCTCCCTTCATGGGACTGTTTGCTTAATTCCACTCCCAGTTGATTGACCATTACCGCAGGTAAGTTGAACACCATTGGCTGCGCAGCTCCGATTCGTCTGTTACTCTAAATTGGACCATAATTTACCAAATGAAAATCGTGCTGTATGGAAGAAGACTTGCAACTAGAGATTGTGCTTTGATTGGGCTAATAAATGATGTGAGATATTAGTCAGAACATTAGAGTGCATGGTATCGTTTTTTATTGCAGCCAATGGAGCTCCCCCTGTTGGCCTTTACATAGAATGCAGATTTATTTTATTTTTTATTATTACACTTTTTTTTACATTTTATTTTTATTGGCATTCATCTAATGTTGAGGTGGTTATCTGACGATCAGTGGGTAAAATCCTATGCTGGACAAAAATTCCTCCACCAGATGCGTCTGTAGCAGGTCTACAGGAGTGATGATCGGCAGTAAAGCTATTTGAAGACTTTTGTTTGTTTACTTTGTGTATGTACTGAAAGCTTAAAATGAGACGTAACAGTCTGCAACAGAGTGAGCTAGCAACAGCTGGCAAACTCAACACATCTGTAGTATGGAGATATTTCAGCCTTGAAACAAAAAAAAAGCAAGATAGCAACTTGTAATGTGTGTAAAGTCAACATTACAAGAGGTGGAAGTTGTGCACCGCACAGTACTATATGATATGATAGACACATACACAAATATTGATATATAATAAATATTATTATTATATAAAAAAAAAAAAATCTTGTGTGCAAATGATGTAGTTCTTTGAACAACCTTCATAAATATAGTATCTTTCCAGTAGTGCTCAGGTTTGGTGAGGTATCGCCAGAAGCAGGCAGACCACTGTGCTCCTGTGCTTCCCTCTTCCAGGCAAGACTTCAGCTTGTATTATTTCTTCTTGTGCTTGTTATCTTTTGCTACCCAGTGCTTCAGTGTATAATGCTCTTCTGCCATCGGCACCTCACGCTGAACAGTTTTATTGCTTCCATAAATTTTGCATGATTCACATCAGGAGCTCCTCCTCGCCATCTCGCTCTGATACTCTGTCTCTCTCTGCACCACCTCACTGGCTCTCCCTGAAGACTGTCTCGCATTCTGGTCGTGTGATTCATAGAAACACGACAAGTCAAAGGTTGGCGTTGGGTCTTCAGGATGTTGTCACCGAGCCAAGAGCTTTCAACATTTTTCACGGGTTCAGCCCAGTTCAGTGCTTGTTTCTTGTGGGGCTACACAGGACTGCTAGTGTTCTTCAGTCCTTCATTTATTTATTCATATAATTCTTTATAAGATGAATAAATATATTAAAAATAAAAAATGTATCACTGGATATGTTATAAATTCATTAAAACAGAGAGAGGAGCGCTTGATGTGAACTGTGGAGGATTTGCTTCTCTACAGATATTCAACAGATATTGTCTTTCCAGTAGAACAGTGACAGTGTCAGTTTGTTTGTTGTTTGTGCTCATGTTTTCATAGAAACCTGTAGGATACTTGAATGGCCACATTTGAAGTACAAGTTAAATTAAGATGAATACTAGCTGACGTTTGGAGATTAACAAATATTTTGAATGACGCACAGTGTGAAAGTTTGTTTAGCTTGTTGTTGACAACAAAACAAGCACTGCAAGTTTGTATGTACAGCAGTCAGTAGTTTTAAACTTTAACTTCCGCTTCAAGATTGTCTTTACCAGAAAAACAACAGCATTAATTGTTCAAACACTTAAAATGTTCTATATGTTTGCCTGTCAAAGCCTCTTGTGACCAAAGACTCATCTATTTGCAGCAAAGATATAGTAAGTTGAGGTTGTTATTGCCATGCAAAACCTTTTCAGGGGGAGCTCATGGGGGTCCCATTTGCAACAGTAAGTACGGCCCATCTGGAAAGAAACGTAATATTGATAATTAATGTATCTGGTTGCAAAAAAGGCCGATACTGATAATAATACTAGAGCTTCAACAGTTAGTTGATCAATTAATTAGTTGGTCGGAAGACAATTACTTGCCAACTATTTTGATTACTTATGATTAATTTCAGTAATTTTTCAAGGAACAATTAATCGAGAAAAAGAGTTAGTTGCAGCCAAAACTTACAACAAATTGAATTTGTTTTCTGCCACAATCTCCGCTTGTAGTGACTGGAGCATTAGTAAACTTTGTAATGGTTATTTTGAGGCACTCATAGCACTTGTTTAAGGTTAGGGAAAGATCATGGTCTCAATTAATACAGAAAGTCAGCTTACATGAAATAT